CTTTTTGACTACCTCCCAGATTTACCATCGGACGTCATCTCTTGCATGAACCCCGTGATGCTGAACCCTTCACCCCATAAAAGATATCATTGCCCAAGAGTTGAGACCCATCACCACCAAAGCAGGTACCCAAAAAGTCGACTTTTTGGGTACCTCCCAGATTTACCATACGTGATCTCTTGCATGAACCCCGTGGTGATGATGATGCGTTCCTCACCGACGAGTCCGCGTCTATGTCCCTCTGTCCAGGCACACTCTATCGCCGAGGACCCCTCGCAGGCCAAACTGCAAAGGTGGGTTCCACGATAGAGGACTGTCTCTTTTTTTTCACGATAATCCTGTCGTTGTCTAAGGGGCCCCGTGTGTGGCCGGGAACACTGGCATAATAGCCAAAGGTTAACAATTTTTGCTGCAAATCTGGGAACCTAAGTCAGGAGGACATGCAAGAAAACTTTTGGAAAAGCACCCTCCCGAATAAACAAAGCCTAGAGCATTCCTAGCATCTAGTCGAAAACGTAACAAAATCTAAGTGCGGCCAAGAGGAATATAGGAAAAATCAAGGGCATTGGCCGGGAACACTGGCATAAAATTGTTTAGCCAAAGGTTAACAATTTTGGTGGGAAATCTGGGAGCCTAAAGACAAGAGGAAGCGCCAGAAAATTCTGGCAAAAGCATCCAACCGAAAACGTAACAACATCTGGACAAAGCCTAGAACATTCCTAGGAAAATATTGGAAAAGCCTTTGAAAGTTCCATAGGTTAGCAAAAGGTTACCAATTTTTGGGAGAAATCTGGGAACCTACAAACAAGAGTCAGCGCTAGAAAATTCTAGGAAAAGCATCCAGCAGAAACAGAACAAAATCCAGACAAAGCCTAGGAAAATGCTAGATGCAAGCGATGCGCTAGAAAATTCTTGGAAAAGCATCCAGCGAAAACATAACAAAATCTAGACAAAGCCTAGAGCATTCCTAGAAAAATGCTAGAAAAGCCTTTGAAAATCCCATAAGTCCAACAGAAAACGTCACAACATCTACGAAAAAGCAAGGGCACTGGCCGGGACCACGCAAACATAACAAAATCTAGACAAAGCCTAGAGCATTCCTAGGAAAATGCTAGAAAAGCCTTTGAAAATCCCATAAGTCCAACAGAAAACGTTACAACATCTACGAAAAAGCAAGGGCACTGGCCGGGACCACGCCGCGACCAGCCCGGGATTCGAGCCCAGGACCATTTTGGACCGTGCTTATTTTCCCGCGCGGGTGGAGAGGGTGTCCCAAGATGTAAATCAATTGGGATGGCAGAATCTTGGACAATCCAGGTGACCATCACGTCGCAATCTCGTCAATTCCGGTCGTAATCACGTCGCAATCACGTCAAATCACGTAGCTATCACGTCGCTTTTGGGTCGAGATTCGTCACTGCAACAAAGGTCCGGAGGGGTAGGGGAGGTAAGGTCTAAGGCTAAGGCTACGTCCAAGTCTGAGTTTAAGGCTAAGGCTAAGGCTTAAGCCTACGGCTAACATCGACAGTCACGCCTCACCCCACGGTGTGGGGTCGGCGGATTAGATAGTAAGTAGCTTACATAGTTACAACACAAAGTAATTGATGCGTCATAGATAGGAAGTGATGATAAATAGTTGTCATAGAAAAGTCATTTATATCTTCACGTACAGAAGTTATATCTCAAGATAGGCTACTTCCTAAGTAGCACTAAGCAGCACATCCAAATACTAAACGCCTTGAACCTTTAAGTATATATAGTCTTTCTCAGGCCATCGGTGCGATCTTCGTGGCGGAAGTGCTGGAGAACTTGGTGAGTGCCGTTTTGGAGCGCTGGGATTTCAAGGTGCATCCCCAACGCCGACAGATCACCGAGCAAGAATTGGAGCTCATGGTGTGGGCACAGATGAGGCAGGGTGTAGATAGATGTGGGTCGAGGCGACTGGTGGAGAGGCTCCACAGGGCTCCAGCCCACTCGTTGGCCTTTGGACTCGTTGGCCTTCAGGTCGTTGTTCTTAGGGCAAAAAAATGGACCAACGACTTGGTCCGGGAGTTTCTTCCTTGATCTCCGCTTGTTTTTTCGGACTTGGACGTGAACGAGGAAGTTGATTTAGAAACCACCAAAACCGAGGTCGTGGTTGGTGGAGTGTCCAGGTGAAGTTGTTTTGGAGTCCATTCTTCTCCATTGACCTTTTGGTAGTCCTTCCACTGTTCAACTTCCGATATGGATGTGTTTTCTACCGGTTTTTCTCGTGGTGGTGGATCTTTCGAAGTCTGAGGGACGAATGGGAGGATTCCACCATTTCAACGGGAAACACGTGGAGTGGGTGGATAGTAGCTTGTTTGTTTCCCCACGCCGAGGAGCCGTGGCGACCAATGGACTGGGAACATCACGGTGGTCCCTGTGCCCAATCCAGTGCCGTCCGCGCAGAGCACCGTCAAGGACGCATGTGTCTGGGCGGCAAACCCAACGAACAGAGCGTCGGGTTTCCTGGCCATGTGTCGCCCGTTTCGCCCGTTTCGCGTAGGTTCCGGGAATGTTAACATGTGCTTGCCATGTTCGCAAGGTTGGGGCCAAGTTTGTGGGGTGACTCTTCAATCAGTCTAGTAAATTCAGAGATCTGAAAGGTCGCAGAGGTCGCATGGTTTTCTAGATTCTAGCGGGTTGCACGTTGACCTCGCGAAATCAGTCAGGCTGGAAGTTGCGTGAGAACTTCACCTTTCTCTACGGCGAGAAGAATTTTGGTGTTTTGCCCTTCTGGGCCACCTTCACGGCGACGATCATTGCGCAGTTCCACGCTGCAGCCTGGCAAAACGAGTTTGAAAGAGTCCTGAGGCCATGGGGGACTCTCAGAATGGTTTTTGAGTAGATGGTACAAAGGCATAGACTCAAGCGAGAAATGGGGATCCTCTCAATGACCCGACCCCGCTTGTTTTTCCCAACTCTAAGGGTTGCCAAGGCTCTTTTGGCTAGGTCCACTGGCAGCAAAAGGCCACCAGAAACACGGGTCGCATTGGTTCACAGTGATGAGACATGTGCTGAAATCGAAGGTGTGATGGTGCATTGGGAAAAAAGATGAACAAAAGCGTTGCTTTGGCCCAGAATGAGAGAAGTTGAAGCGTCATAGCATGTGATTGTCAAACTTTCGATGACCTATGATTATGCTTGGCAATGGACTACCATATCTTCTGGGTTTCTGCCCGGCAGAATACCATGGCTTCAGCCGTGCAATCATTGTGGTGGCCCATGACCGAGGACTTCTGCGAGGGAGGGACTCAGTCTGCGATGGTGCCTCCATCGCGATAGGACGTGAGTGTTTTCAGGACGTCGCGGCGGTTGGGCGCCCACTCGTTTCCACCGAAGCTCGGTGAGGTGCCGAAAGGCGCCCTTTTCAGACCCTTTCAGACCGGTGGACCCCAATGGGGCGGAAACGGGCCTTGGATCGGCATCGCATCGCGTCGAAGCCACAGCACCGCTTTGCGAAAGAAAGGGACTTTCCACATCGATGGGGATCTTCCCAGCGCGAAAAAACGAGGAGGGGGGCCCTTCGGGGTACTCCGGTCTTCAGGTTCCGGGACCCACCAACCTCGGAGTCGGGTCGGTTCCGAGTCAAACTGAAAGGTATTCAAAGCAGATGGAGACCAAACACACCGTGTTGGGTTCGAACGTCCATGCGCAGTTGAAAGAAAAGCACCGCACGATGTGCCTTTATTTCACCGCAAGAAATGGGTTGTAATTAGTGGACCTCTGAGTTGAAACAGGATCGATGTCCACTTGACCCAGCAGGAAATGACTCGGTCGCAGATCACCAAAGGCTTTAGAGAGCCGCTCGTTGCGATGCCAGTTGTGGTCGATCGAACTCCTGGCAAAAACAGGTATGATACCTGTCCCAACGAGAGACTTGCCTAGGGGAACCCCCAGTCCCAACCAGAAACAGGTCGACAGACAGATGTGTCTCCGGGTATGTTCAGCCACTATATAAGCTCTGTTTTGCTCTCAGAAAATGGTCAGAACAACCGTTTTCTGGGAGGAAGGGGTTTACAGGTGAGGATCTTCCCTCGATCGATGCTCGAACACGCGACATGCGCGCATCGACTTGCGCATCGTTGGAGATCTCCAAGCAGTGTGTTCCTTTGCGATGGAAAGAGCTAGATTTTTTTATAGCAGCTAAGTCTAAGTGTTTATAAAACGTCATACACCACCCCAATGTATCAACTAAAGGGGATGATTGCTGTAGTTTCTGGTAAAATTACTGTAAAGTTTGAAACCTTGTCCTGTGAGCACTGAACGATTTTTTGATGTTCTTCATTCCTCTCAACGACACCTTCCACTGCTGGGGGTTATGTTATCAAATGTTATCAATATATCTCCGCACAAATGCCTCGACCAAAGGGTGACGCGTCTTCTATCTTTGCGTCGCAAAAAAGAGGTTTTGTGCGCGCCTGCGGAGAGTTCGGGATGGTGACTCCAGATGGAAACCCAGGGGCACAGTACCTACGAAGCGCAGTGCCGTCCAGCCGTTACTACCCACATCTACCCACCCACTTCCGGCGTCACAGCCGACTGGAACTGAGACCAGAGAGGTAAATCCTTCCAGCCGGGCCCATCTCAGTGGCAACCATGGTGGGTGATTGAAGAACTCTTAGACTCACGCAGAGAGTCGTGCTAGTCTGCTAGTTTTCACCACATGGATGAAAAACAGGGGCCTTTCCCGATGTAGCACCTGTGGATGTTCACCGATGCAATGAACAGCCCTTGTTTCTTTCTTGGATTTATCTTCGATACTTGTGTTTCGCCCCCCCCAAAGCCCGTATTGTGTCCTATACCACCTTCCAAGTGGTCACCTGGCTGGTTTCGCCCCCAAACTACTAAGGGACCTCCAGACAGGACACCCCTTGAAGGTCCAGGTAGTGAGTTTTCTTTCAAGACTTCCAGGCATGGGCTGTGAGACACATGGGCGTCGCGAAAGGAATGTTCCCCAACCTGTGACCTTTGCCAAGGGCCGGGGTGCCAGCTTTGTGGGGTCCGCCGCCGCAGGCAGGGGCCGCGTTTCGTGCGGGAGCAATGTGTGGAGATGACATCCGATAGAGAGCCTCCCTAAACCCTAAACAACCCTAAACCCTCTAACCATTGGGGCCCCTGGGTTTGTTCCCATCCTCCCTCTTCCTTTCTGTGGAAACATCCACAGCACACGGAACGGAAGACACTGGGTGTCTCCCAAGATGATCGACGGTGTCACCGAAGGGTTTTTGGCCGTGTCCCAGGACCTGTTCGAACGGAGGAAACGACGTGTCCCAAAACAAAAGGGGCGGTGAAGACACGTTTTTGGGGGAGCAATGCTCTGTTGGAATCATTGGATAAGGGCTATATTTATATGGAAATCCGGCAGTCCGACCATTTCGAAAATGGGACCGATCTGGTTTTGTAGTGGAAAACCCTTACTGCAGTAAAACAATATGGTTGTTCAGAAATGATGGGCCACGACTTCTAGGGGAATGGATCCCTCTAGTGGACCTGACGACACGTGCTTATCCCCACTTTTGGTGATGGGGATGTGCGCCCAGCCACTCCAGCAGCTCTATTCCTCGGCTAGGGCCTCCCAGCCTCCCAGCTACAGCCTTAAGGGGGTCAGAGTCCCAGTGACCCCACGGGGCTTCGTCCTTCTTTTTCGGTAAGGCCGTGACCCCACGTCACCGTGATGTCGTCGTGTCGTTGCATGTCGCTCGAAAGGCTTCTGGAAATCCCTTGAGACTTGAGGTTTGGGCATCTCTCGTGAACATCACGTGTTTCGGACTCTCCACCAAGAGAAACAAAACGAATAACAAGACAATCCCACTGAGGCCCCACGGGGAAAGAGTTCTCAACCACCAACTCCTTTTCTTGGATGTTGTGCGAAGAAGAAAAGGAACCCGGTAGGTGGAGGCCACTACTACTAGGAGCAAGGATGCTACTAGTAACACAGGACACTAGTAACACGGCTCCTCTCGGCTCATCTCGCTCTCCACCGACCAAAGCCGACGCGCCGCGCCTCGGCGAACACGCCGAGGGCCGAGTCCCCAGCCCCAGCCGCGGCACTCGTTGCAACTCCCACAGCGGCAAGTCCGGGATGCCTAGTCAGCGGAGCTCTGCGGCAGCGGAGCTTGGGCGGAGCTCGGGAAGATGAGGAAGATGAGGGCGCAGGACGCACCCCAGAAAGCGTCGCGTCCTTTTTGGGGCCGTATTTTTGGAAGAGGTGGTGGTGGCTGGTTCAAGGAAGCTGCGAGCACGTTTAGAATGTTTAGAAGGACTTGGAGAGGACATGTTCCGGAAGAGGAGTTTCCCTTAGTTGCCTAGTTAAGGGTCTAGTTTCTGAATACCTGGATCTTTTGCTCCTTTTGAGCTTGACTGATTTTGGTCATCTAAAGAAAGTGTGAAGGGTTGCACCAGTCGCCCATACCAGGAATTTGGAGGACTTTCTTGGTCCCATGCGCCAAAAGCCACGCAGTCGCTGGGTGGAACCCATCTCCGCAATGCGCAGTCGATGGGTCTCGAGGTCGCCGCTTCGCTGTCGGCTGCGTTGTCCACACGTGGAGACCACGAGCAGTGGAGGTGTCTTCAGCGAAAGAAGTGAAACCCACCGAAACCTCCACTGCTTCTTGGACCCACATGGAAGCACTGCTGTGGAGTGAAGCGGAGTGATCCACATGGAAGCTAGGTCCTCTCTATATCATATATCAACCATCCGCACACTTCGCCGGCCGTGGCAGATGCTAGCCTTGTTTGGCGGTTCTGAGCCAGGGGGCTGTTATTGATCCGGCCAGACCTTGACCCCAAGCAACTTCTAAGCCACTGACACCCCATAGCAAGCTTTTGGAAGATTTGGATGGCCAAAAGGTGGATTTTCGACGGTTCAGAGACCTGAACTAGGACCACCCTGGTCTGTGGATGTCTGTGGGCTATCAGCCTGTTCAACCTTCTCTCCCGATCGGCGCCGTTCACCCCCCGTTGATCCGCTGGAGTGGCCGGTGCGAAGCCTGGGCCCATGGCACGGGACATCTACTGTACCCCAGGACCCACGGCGCGTTCAAGAAGGAGCAAGCTATACCCAAGGCGACATGTTGGCCACCATCAAACATGATAAGATGGGGCTTTCAGATGCGCTATTGGGAGAACATCGCGGCACGGCGAGGGTTTTTCTTAGGTTTACTGTAATGACGCGGTTGTGTATACTCAAGTATATACTTCTTTGGAATGATGTTTGTTTGCTTTGGTGAGGGGTGAAGGTTCGCAGATGTATTGTTCCCACATCTTTGTGTGGTCTGGCTTGGGTTCCAGCTGCTTCGTTTTGACATTGGCTAGGGTGGTAGTCTCAAGTAGACATTTAATCCCTGTACAATTGCATAATTAATCACATCTGCAAAGGTAGCTCGGTTAAAATGTGTAGTTTGTCAAAAAATATGGGTATTGGCACCAACTCCGTTTTTCCTTACATATATTTATACACAAATACATGATAAACACAAGTTGAGGGGATGCGCCGCTGGACTGTTCACCCGCGATCGCCTACTTCGTTGTTGATCAGCTACTTGGCCTTTCAGCTGCCCCCATCGATGCCTCCACAGGCCGCAGGCGCGGCCCTACCCTGCAATCAACCACCTGGCCCAGGTGGTGCAGGGCGGCGTCCCGCAAGGTGCGGTGCCCTGCGGCGGCATGCCGCAAGGGGTGCCGCAGGGCGTGCCGCAAGGGGTGCAAAGCGCAGGCGGGGCAGCTGGCTGAAGGAAGATGTGGCAAAGCGAAGCGAGCGGCCAAAAGCAGGGGAGAGGGACAATGGATTTGGCCGGGCTTGGGGTGTTTGAGAAAGGTCAAGAAGCGACCTAGCGAAAGTGGAGGGGGTTCACATAGAGAGTTCCTCACCCGGATGAGCTTTTGAGAAGTGGTTTCAACTGCCATAAATCTTCGTGATCTACTGTAAGTGAACGATGAAATCTTGCGTAATGCAACGTTGACACAAAAGCTGCAACTCACACTGACTCACACAGTGGTTGTCACGTCTATCAAATCGTGTCAAAGGTTGTCTGAGAACCCTGGCGAGTGGTAGAAATATTGAGAAGTTTGAGCCATCGATGCTCCTTCCGAATCCCTTCAGCTGCAAAAAATAGATAAAACGACCGTCCAAGCGCGGCTCACCGCAGGACATGGCGGCCACGGCATGCCTCAGGAATTGGGGGGCAGGGTTGCAAGTGGATAAGCCAAAAGCTTTCAAGGCACAAGTTTCAACCCTCAGTCGTGGCATGTTAGTACAGTTCTTCATCCGATCAGCTTAAAATCACAAGTGGATATGTTTCACAATGTGTTTTTTACAGGAAGGGGTGTGGCTTTGATTCTGTACAGTATGTTGGGTCTGTCCTATTGCCTGTAATAGTTGATAACCAACATCATCCACTGTCACTGGTACTTGCAATGGGATAGACCCAAGCAATATGGTATAAGATGATATGATCAAATTCCTTTTTGTTGCCAAGAGTCAAGAGTATTGCCATCCCCACAAACAGGATGACATCGGCCCCAAAACAATTGACCGCCTAGGATCCAAAGCTAGTTCCCTGCGTGGCCCCCTACAGCGACGAGGATAGATGAATCTTTCCCCATCGCCAGCTCCAGTCTGTTGGGGAATGTTTGCTGCGGCCACCATGCATCTAATTTCAAATTAAGGATGCAATTAGGTCCTTCCCACAAATATCGAAATCGGCAATGAGCTTTGAACGTCAAGTTGATTTTCAAAGACAAGAGAATGCATCAAAAAGGCAACACTCTTTCAAAATTGACCAAGCTGACAACCCCAATAGCAAAGCATCCACCAGATCCATGTTTTCTGCGTTGTTCGTTGCGTCGTTCTTTCACATATCGATCATCGAGGACAATTCCTTTAAAGAAAAAAACAAAAAAGGATTCCCAGCCTGCGGAATAAACTCTTAGAATCTGAGAGCTTGAGCTCAAAATGACCCTCAGATTCTATAGACAATGTTCTTATAGAATGAAATATCAACCTACCTGAAAAAACACTCCATTTTAAACATCGGGGCCAAAAATGTCCGTTTCTTCTGGCAAAATGGGTACCGACATGTCATTCTATAGAGAGGGCTTGCCATGTCACCAGATTTTATAGAGGTCCTAACATGTGATAAATAACCCCTCTATAAAATCATGTTTTACACATGGGCCAACATTTGTATCCAAACATGTCTTTACAAAATCAAAATCAACCTGTTGGGCCACTTATGTCACCTGTCCAATATGTTTCTAAAATAATGTTCAACCCTGCATTGTCCAAACATGTCTCTATAAAATCAAACCAACCTCTTGGGCCACTTTGGCCCAGTGTTTTTCTAAAAGCAATTTCAACCTTCAGTGTTCCCCACACTTTTCCATAGAATCAATACCAACCTTGGCTATGCATCATTGATTTTCCAAATTTGTTTATCAATTTTTCATGATGATGAACACCCATACCCTGAGGCACCTCATTCTATAGAGAACATGTTTGCAGCACAGCAGGAGGTTGATATGTGATTCTATAGTAGGGCAAACTGCCCTCGGAGCCTGGTTGTTCGATGTTTTTCGTTCTATCACACAGGACAAAAAAGTGAAATGCATTCCAATAGTCCAATAGTGTTTACCACTTAAGGAATGTTCGCCGATGGCCGAATTGTATGTTCAAGTGCTCAAGTGTTTGCACATGGTGCATACGTCTGAAGAACCAATTTTATACAGCGCAACTCACGATTCGCACCAAAGAGAGGTGTGCGTATATTTTGTTCGCATATGCGTGCAAGTTCAATTCTGACAAAGAATGAAAGGAATAAGATCGTCCAGATGATAAGAAGATATTATCACCAAACCAGGTAGAAAATGCAGTTAAAGACGAACGCATACTTCATACACGAAAGGTACAGTGAATGCAGTTGTCAGAGAGACCATACTTTAAGTTCTGGCACCATGGAAGATATACTTTGGACACGCACGTGCATTGTTTTTACAAAGTATTGACAAGCAAAGACGACGCTTATCGAAAGTAAACAGAATAATTACCGTGGATGTACACGAACGATGCAAGAACGCAGTGTCAAGCAAGCATATTTGCGCACGTCGAAAATCACTTTCTACTGACACCAAAACATGTTGAAACCAATCGTAAAATTTGGGCGCCAAAATTACACACAAGTCCAATCCCCAAGCTAAACGCATGTTCCGTTGACAAATGTTTGCTTGTTCGAGCGCCTGCGCAAAGTCCTTACATCTGAAGAACCTATTCAATACAACACAACAACATGAGATTCGCACAGAGAGGTTTTTCAATATTTTGCCGCACAATCCCTGCTCGAACAGAGAACATAAAGTATAAAAGTTCATACAGACGACACGAACCTATGGTTCATACAGACGACACGAACCTATGGTTATCCCCAAAGGAAGAGGAAAATGTATTGAAGGACAAACGCATAAGTTCGTCCTACGCCAAGCACACAGTTACTAAGTAGCCACCTAAGACTTTTGTACAAAACCAAAAGGATGTTCCTCTCAAGCGAACCAGTCTTTTGTAGATGTCGACGCATAATCTCTACCTTAGGCGGGACATGATGTTCAAGCGCCAGCACGCAACATGGACTCCACCTAAACATGACCAAGAGGCCACCTAAACATGACCAAGACACCACCGAAACATGACCGAGAGACCACGTAAACATCACCAAGACGCTTCCTTCAAATGACCGAGACACCACCTAAACATGACCGAGACTCCGGGAGACCACCGCCCAGGCTTAAAGAGTGGACAACCGCAAGCTATCGCTTTTGGGGAACTATCAACTCCAAACTTCGGATTTTGGACGGTGCAGTGAGAATATGCGGTTAAGTTCCCAAATGGCGGCCTTTGAACCGTCCTGTGTGCAGTCAGTACCCGCCGGCTGCGAGGCTGGCTTCCAGGTCTTCCGCATGGCCTCCCACGTGAGCTCGCAGGTGGGGTCAGTCCAACAGTTGAAGTCTCGGTGTTTGAATGATTTTTTGGATGTGTTGAAAATTAAAGGTTCCAGGAGTGTACCAGGAGGGTACAGCGAAAGCTGAAAAGGCGATGTGTTCCATGCAGGGAAAGTTGTTCGAGGATCGATGTGTTTTTTCCCAGAGGCTCCTTTCACAGCCCTTTTTGTCCCTCAAAACCTGTCTGGGATTGGCTCAACCCCTCGGTCCCTCCAGAGGATTCGGGTTTGCGGTTTGCGTCTGCATAGTGCTCCAATTACAGACTCAGAAGGTATGACTGGACCCTGGACCCTCCAAACCCACTGACTGGAGCCTTTGGGATCCCTAGGTATGTATATTATACATATAATACATATACAGCCTGACATGACCCATATGAAAGCAGGTACGACATGGTACGACAGTACCATCCGATACCCATTGCTCTCAGGTTGGAGGCCATTGCTCTATCGCTATGGTACCCATTTTCCGAGCTTTTCCGGATGCCTTTCGAGGTCCCGCCGCAGGTCGCACCGGCAGCCAAGGCGGTGGCCAAGGCGCGAATTCGCCGCCCACCGGGGTGAACCTTGACGGAGTGAAGCAACGCAGGCAGACCTCGCCACCTTCGAAATGGGCAGCATTCAGAAGAAATTCATCATATTGCATTCATCAGTGTTTACATTGTCACTTGTCTCGAGTTCTGTGACCAAGCGCTCTCTGGCCTCTCACTCCCTCTCCGCGCGCCCATCCCGCGCCCTCCTCGCCAGGCAGGACGATGAGATCCGGTCCCACGACGCGTTGGCTTCCCGCCCTGAGCGGTTTGGGTTAGCGGTTTCGTCCTTGGTCCTTGGTCGTTTGGCCCGATGAGTGACCGAGTGAGGTTCGTTCGGAGTGGTGCTGGTGTCGGCTGGTGACCGCGCAGTAGCACGTCACCAAGCGCCGTGAAAATGGGTTCCAGGTTCATCCAGGTAAACCTGGATGCCGCCTGAAAGAATGATGAAAAGAAAGGCTTTGTATTGAACCGGATAAGATTCTTGGTGGGATAGCTGCACCCACTCAGGTTACCGCACCAATTCATATGTGCTGCAAGATACCATCCCTTGCACTGTACGTATTTGCTGTTACGGACCAGCAACGCAAGCAGGTTTTGTGGCTCCACCTTATAGTTTCCATGCAAAATTGAAGGTTTCGGGACTGTTGGAGGCCACTGGAAAAGGCTCCTCAGTGTTTAATGTTTTTCCTTCGGAAGAAAGTTCGAGCCCCACCATTTCAACCAGTAATGCCCCTTCAGCAACAACATGTCCTGGCCCCTGGCGTATTGATCACCCACACACTTAAAGATTTGTTTTTATGCATTCTAGATCATTGTAGTATGTGCTCGACCTTAAAGGATTTTTGCAATGGTGCACGAACTCCCAGCAAAACCGGTTCATGTGCTTTACAGTGATTCCCCAATCCCAATGAGTTTTAATAGCAAAATCGTATGTGCCAAATCCCTGAGCCCGGCTCAGTTTCGGTGTTTGTTCGACCGGGCCGCTCCAAGGTGCACCAGAAAGGTGCAGCTGCGCCGGGCTGTGTGAAGCTGGTCTTTGCTTCCGACTCGGTTGCCGGCACCAGTGGATTTGGATTCAGACATGACATTTAATCCATGGAACCTCAGAAACGGCCCGATTCCTTTGTCGCCAAATGGCCGATCGACCAAAAGTGATTGGGGATCGACACCAGAGAAACATCACAACGATTTCCCGAAGTCCCAAGTAGAGGACCTTCCTTCACAGATTCTTTTGGGACCTCCCCCCAGTCACCTCTATTAAGAGGCGAGGCGCCTTTCATTGTTCAAGGGAAGAAAGAAAAGACCAACCTCTTGGTGTCGCTGGTAGGTAGAGGACTGAGCTCATTTCCAGTCCATTTCGACTCATTTCCAGCCTTGCCCACGTTCTCCGGGTCTCGGTGCGCCCCGTCGGTTGATCGTGGTCGGTCTGTCCCGGGGCGTGCACGGCGACCACGGCCAAGTCGAGACGGTGCAACGGGTGGAAGGGGATGAGTTCTTATAGAGAGAGAGAGAGTTCCATCACCAAGTCCTGTCATGTCCAGTTCGTGATAAAACCTGAAGTCTATATATAGTATTATATAGTAGTCTAAGTGACTGAGTCATGGTCATTTCAAGATGTTCGGTGTGACACGCCTCTCACCACACCGGTGTGGTTGTGTTTTTTTCTTTGAGCTTTTGACTTTGATGCTTATTGTGCAACTTTTGACCGCAAGCACAATTCCGGGAAAAACAACACATAACACATGAAAAAGGCCTTGAAGAATGACGTGACGCATCGTTTCTGGCTTAGACCTTCTGGTTTGGGGGGCCAATCAAAATCGTTTGTATTTTCATCTTCATGGCACAAAACAATACAAAACGGGGTTATGAAGTCTTCAGCTACGATGCTTCTCTTTGGGGTTTTGAGTATTCGACGACTCATCTTCGTACGAGGGACACATCGTAAAGTGAACAATTCGTTGCAGCTGAGAATCGTCGGCCAATTTGGAGGGATGCTCAGCAGCTTCAAGCATTGCTATAAATTGCTATACTTACGTGCACATAGATCCCGTATTGAAACCTGGAAGGTGGAAGGGTCAATTGGAGTGGATACATTTTTCTGCCTCGTATTTCCATGATGTTCCATGAGGAAATAATTACCGTATTTCTGTTCAAAAAGATGACCAGACGACTTCACCACGTGGTTTGACCAGCACCGTCTATGACGACGGACGACGACTTCGTCCCCCGTCCAGTGCCGGACGACAGTTCACCACGCGACAAATGCCCCGTCAGACGGGTGAAGGGCGACGAATGCCCCGCGCGTCCCGAGGTTGGGAGGCGTCCTTCCGGCGGTCGTGGTGTCGTTTAAAGAAGGGGGGAAAAAGAAACGGTGGCACATTGCGGCCATTTTCTATTTGTTTGGTTGCATGGTTCTGGGTTCTTCACGACATAATGATGGTTCTTCCAAAATGGTTTGTCAAAGATGGTGTTTCGCAGATGGTTGTCATACAACGACACATATCTTTTTCATCTGTAGACCCCTTGGGGGTCGGTTGGCTCCGGAGTTCGGCCCTTTTCCGGGTTGGTCGTTGGAATTCCCTGGAGTGGAGATAGCCGGAACAGCGGACCGGTTGAAGGTCAGTACCCACTGCTACACCCTACTCTCAGGCGAGACTGAGAGTCTCATAGTCTTGAAGGAGTGGGGGTTCTTCACTGTTTCTTCCTTTGTCCATATGGAATTCATGGAGAACCGCTGCCTACGCTTTGTTGGATGTTGGACCATTGGATGCTTTGGGATTGAACAGGAGATCTCCCCAAAGTATATGGGGTGAAAAAGTGTACACCGTAGAAACGGACGGACGGTCCACACGTAGGGGGTTCTATCTTTCAGTCCGGAACTATACTCCCCTGCAGATTAACATGGAACCCCAAAACCATTGGGCGTAGAGGCAAATGATCTTCCACCGGTCAAATCTCTGGTTCTATGTTAGTTTGAGGGATAGTAAATATCGTAAATATGCATGTCTTGTTGGAAGAAAAAGCTCGTCACTGCGTCGAATCTCGGAACTCCTCGGCCGAAGACAGAGAAATCTCGTCCCCAACCTCGGCGGAGACATCGGTCGTGGGCACCAGGCCCACCACCAGGCCCCGAACGCATCGGAACCCATTCCTTTTTGCATGAAAAGGACGGTGCCGAACTTGTGTCTCCTGCGCCGGTCGCAAGTTACTGCGCTTCCTGGCGAAGGTGAACTTCGGTGAGATTGGGTGAGAAAGATACAGGTAGTATCAGATTCCACCCTTCTCTTGAAGTGGTGAGTGGTGGCAGTGCCAATGCAGGTGGAATCGGTGGAATCCATTTTGACAATATTTTGACTATGATCAGGGAAGAAGGTAATACATGGTATATTCATCTCCAAGGGATTTCCTTACAATTATTTCTCTCATCAAAGTGGCCATGTCTTTGAGATCGGGGAGGAGCCCTTGACAGATCCATTACGTCTTATTGTGTCTTATTCACAAGTTTGCATCCACTACTTCGGACTGCTTCCCTCGTTTGACGCATCTGAATGTTGTCTCAGACCTAAAAACATGCACCACTCATGCTACAGATGATATCTTTGACCAGCTGAGCACCGTCTTTTCCCGGACTTGGGCCCATCCCACTCAAAGGAAGGTGCTGATTCCTTCAGGGGTCGACTCCTTGACGGATCGATCTCTAGGGTCTTTTGAACAAAGCAGAAGGTCTGAAGAAAAAAGACCGAAATGGAAAAGATGAAAGGAAGGAAGAACGGTTCCGAAGGTTTCGATCGGTTTCAATTCCTCATTTGCTTTTCACAGGTGGACTGCGTCCTCCGCTTGGGTGGAGTAAGTGGGCTTCCATCATCACAGGAGTAGCAAACACATGAAAACCCTGGTAGGTTGGAATTCCAAGCTTTTGGCTCTTCTCGTTTTGGAAAGTCACCAACAACACCAGGTTTTGCCTTCACCCTGCATTTGCAAGTTGCAGGCCTTTTCGGCTGCACTTCATCAGGATACATGCTGCAGATGTGCACACGTTTTGTTTTCAAGTCAGCCCCCGCCAGCATCCAAAGTCAGCGATGTTGAATTGTCCAAACATCCTGCCATCGAATGCCTTCCGCACAAAACAACGAGATTCGGAACTAAACCAGGTTGTGTGGTGTACTGAACTCTCCACTGACGACAGCCACGCGCCGTCGGAAGCACATCGGATCCGATGTGCTTCCGACGGCGACACCGGTCACCGTCGTCGCCATGGTCACGCGGTTGATGGACGTCGGAGAGATCCGCTTCACGCAGGAGCCGCGTCCGGGCCGACCGGAGCGGGGGCCGGAGTGCGGTGGGTCGGCCGACCCAAATGGCTTGTGTGTGGGGGGGGGGATGGAGCGGGAGCGGGGTCGTTTTTTCCATGTGGTTTCCCTACGAAGAATGAGAAGGTGGTTAAAATGGTGAGCCAGTTCTTCCTGAAACCGCGTATACGGCGTGCCCGTTTGGGGATGCAAGATGATCTGAGTGTGCTAGAGTTCCCAGTGAAGCTGGGGACCTGCATGAACTCTTCGAACCGTATAGTATAGGGTTTTTGCGTGTTCTAGAACATTCGTGAGTTCGTAGATTGTATAACCTGCTTGCACATCGTAAAGGCCTCGTGAGGTCGAGGAACTCGACATCTGCGGAGCGCCTTCGCGAGATTGAGTTACTCGAGGTTTAACGAGGGGCCCAGGACGAAGATGAGTATTCTTTGGGTCTGTCCGAACTTACCTGTAACAGTCAGTAAACAGGTATCACCGTAATCTTTATGAGAAAGGCCTTGACTAACCATCATCATCCACTGTTACTTGAAATAGGATAGACCCAGAGTATTGTGTTATTATAGGATGATCCCACCTCTATATATATATATACCCTAGAAGTCCAAAGACTATTTTAGGCACCACCCAAGTAAAGGAAGTTCCTTTTCGGATCACCTAAAGACCGTTTTAAAAATGGTGTTGGACTCCCAGGGTATATATATATATACTAGTGCACACATGTGCTCGAAAGTGCAAGGAACTGGGACAGACAGTTCCTCCGATGTTGGGCAGAAAACAAACAACAAACGCGTCGCCGATGGATCCATCTTCGCCTATGGATCCATCATGCCGTCCTCACAGCACCTATTCGAAAAGGCACACCTTTTGAGATCAACCAGATTCAAACTGCAACGGACGAACTGTGGTCCATCAAGGTCCGCTTGTGTGCGCCGTTCCACCCGCTCCACGCGGTGGCAGCCGCTCCTGCGGAGGAGCATGTTTATGACACCTTCAACGCCAACTCGGACCGGGAGATGTGCGACCACCGCTCTGGTGTAAAGAAAGATGTCGATAGTAGATCTAGTGACACTACACTCAATTCAACTACTAAGGCACTAAGGTGGTAGCAGAAAGGATGTTCCTTGTGCTTGGTGTGGCGGGGTGTTTGTTTGCAAAGGGCATGCCCTGTCACCCTTTGAAAATCAACCACATACACCGGCCTTCTTGGAGGTGAAAAGGGCATCGTCTTGCTCGTTTTGCTTCTGCCCGGTCGCTTGGACTCGTGAAGGGCACGTCTTCATGGGGGGAACCATCTGACCGACCGAAAACTCCTCAAAACCAGTCCGAACGTCGGCGTCCATCGCTCCGAAACCAACCGTCGTCCCGTTTCGCTCCCCGTTTCGACCGTCACCGGGAGCGAGCTTGGCGGCGCAGCAGCGCAGCTCGCCCTGGTGAGTGACCGAGCAGAGCAGGAGCGAGCAGGCAGCGTCTTGGACTTGATGGAGTCCATCCTCTCAGGCGCTAGCAGGGCCAAGGTGTGCGGGTGTGCGTGCGAAGGAAGGCAAGCAGAGAGAGAGAGAAAGACCAAACAAAGTTCTTGGATGCTGTGGAGATATTCTGTGTGTCTTAGACATATTTTCACATCAGGGTGCTTGATCTTCTGGGTGTTGCCAAACTTTCTGGATTTGGATCGTTTGGATGGACTGACTTATCTCCTGCATGTGTTGGATGTTCGAGCATGTCACAGAACTCAAAATAGTCAAAAATAGCATGTTCAGACACTGGCTTCGGCCTCCCTTCAAGCGCTGTTTTCATAAATCTGGCAAATGTTCAGAACTTTGAATACTGGATAGCATCCCAGTGTCAAGAATGTTGGATACTCAAGAATGGTGTGACATATCTTCTCAAGGGTTTGGATGTTGTCTAACGCTCGCGTTTCAGATGTTATGTATATTGACTGTGATGGGATGTCCATTCAAGAGTCTTTGAGACGTTGAGTCTTGACACCTGATCTCAACATTCTTGGATCTCAACTCTGACATACCGCCTCAAGGCTTGGGGATTCTCCAAAGTTTGACAAACCCCCGCTCAGGGTTTTGGTTTGGATACCCTCGCTTGGTTTTGGGCATTCAATCCCCTCTAGAGTATAGCAGACAAAAGTGGATCTTGACAGAGTTCAAAGCTGAGTCTGGATTTTGGAGAAAGCTTCCGAACCATATATAGGGATGTATAGGGCGTGGATTTCTCAAGACCGTTCTTCCTTCGCAACTCTATCCCACTCTCATTCCTACGATTCGACCTTCGTCTTGGTCTTCGCCCTAACCAAGAGACCTACGTATTTCTTCGGTTCCTCGTTCTCGGCACCGAAGTGGACCACCGGCTGGGATTGAAACGGACGGATGAACACGTCCACCGATGCGTCTCAGACCTCTATCCCGTCTCGTCGGCACGAGCTTGCGTGTCGGTGACCGTGCGCCGGCGGCGGTTCCGCCGGCACGGTCGAGTTCGAGTTCGAGTTCGACAACGGCGTCGAAGTCGTCAAGGCCCGGTCTGAAGAGCCACGTGAAACCGTGCTGAACAGCACGGTGGGCTGCCGGTGGCAGGTGCCAAAACGCCCTGGGACATCCCACTGATTCGTGTCGCGGCCAAGAAGGGCGCCTACTGGTGCCCAACTCAGCACGAAAGAAGTACCGAAAACACTGGAACTTACTTAAGCTACTAGCACTGGCGCTGTCCAAGTAAGTAGGCGCCTACTTAAGTAAGCATACTGAATGAAGAAAAGCCGGGCTAAAAATGATTTGCTAAAATAAAGTATATTCTTCAAGGAAGCTGCCCCCAGTGGGGCGAAGTTTGAACCCGAGTACCGTCGAGTAAGTGACTAGTTCTTGTCACTACGAGCTAGGAACACCCCGCACACGGCCCACCCGGTCGCCTTACATTGATGTTACTGTCGTTTCTTTTTGTGAATTGAGGTGTGTGGACAATCGAAGGCTGTTTACCTACAAGCACTTGCAGCTGGGGAAGATCCCTGTGCAGGCAAGGGCACATTTGGACGCCTTTCGCACAAAAGGCATTTTGCCACGAGAATTTGGACGGCTGGGCAAGACTGCTCCAACCGCAGGTGTTCAGCTGGAAAGAGAACCGTGAGCTGGGAGCCCCGAAAAATCGCGCAAGCACCGGTGAGAAGAACACCGGTTCTCGTCTTGACTGCGACGCGAAACCACGACTCGCAGGGTGTTGACCAAGACCCGAATGCCGTGGGTGACGATGACAGGTCCGTCGCAGGACTTTTCCAGCGAGTATCCGAATGACAGGACGCGCCTGGTTTGGATTGAAGTTGGAGCCCAACCAATTGACCCGTGTATTTTTTTCGAAGGAACCAGTTATGTACTTGTAGATGTATCTAGTATTATCTAGTTATCGAGTGTGTTGGTTTGCAAGTTTAAGACACTTTCAGGTGGATACTCTTGAAGAAATACCGTGCCCAGTACCTCAACCACAGGTCATTAATTAAGATGTCTTTTATATTTGGATTCCAATGGAGAGCAGGTGAAAAGGAGGCATGCTAAATGGGAAGTGTGGGGGACAACAGGTTGGAAGCCTTGGGAAAGCGATTAGGCCTCCTTTGCTGAACAAAACCCGTTTGAGGAAAACCAACTTCTTTAGCATGGTGTGGTGATTCCAAGGCAATAAGATGTCTTGCATCTTTCGACGACAACCAGCTTTGAGCCGTGTTTGGCGTTCGGCGGCTAGTGGTTTTGTCTTTGGATTTGGGCGAAGATAGGCTTCATTGGCTTCATATCTTTGAGCATTGCATACCAATGTACTCAGCTGCTGCAGTAACATGAATCCAACTCCCAGAGTATCCATGTGATGTACTTAAAGTCTCAGAAAGACTGTCCAAGTTAACATCGTATGATACGTATGCTTTCTGCGAAGTGGTCTGGTTTGCTGCGCTTTAAGCCCGGTGATTTCGACGGCCTTTTGACGGCCTTTCGGGGCGCCGGTTTCGCAGCGCGTGTTTCGAGGTTTGAACTGAAGTACCGCAACGGGCTCCCGCCGGGGGTCTCGGCGCTTCAAATCAGTCCAAGGGGAGTTATTAAACTCATTCGAGAAAAAAGAAAAAATGCTAGGATGTTCGCCATTCCAAAGTATGATTGTTCTTATTTCTTGTCCAAAGTTTGAAAATGAATGAAATATATCGTATAATTGATATATATATATATATGTTTATTTACGTATCTATGTATGTATAATATTATATTATATATATATACATATTACAACATACATATGATATATATATATTATATATTGTTATATGTTTGGACAGAAGTAATCCAGCAAATGTTGGTCACTGTGTTGTGGAATCTAAATCTGCTTTTGCAAAATGTTCAGCATTGAGCAAGGACTCGGCTGTGACAGAATGTGCTTTGCTGTCGAATTTGTTGCAATTATACTATCGGGCCATGGCTAAATGACATCAGTAAAGATGCATAGGCGGAGAACATCTTCAGCACCAGTTGCAGACCGCCTTATGTGTGAAACAGGTTTCTTTGCTCAGCCCACAACCTCAAGGCGTTTCGGATGATGCCCCCTCCATGCCCCTTGGAGATCCAGAGATGCGATGCTCCACGAGTTCGTGAGGTTCCGTCGGCAGACTGCCAATGGCTTGCGTGCGGGCCTGATCCAACGAAGCCCAGAGCCTTTCCCAAGGAGAACGGACGGGAGTCGGTGACCGAAAAAAGCGAGTCGGTGACAGCGAAAAGTCAAGCAGGACATCAGGACGGGCGGACCGCGGGCGGACCACATCGTTCTCTCCAAAAAGGAAAGAATGCCCGGACATGGGACCGCTGAGACCCGGTGGGGCGGTGGGATTCGCATGAAAAACCCACGACGGGATGTCCTGCGACGACGGGATGTCCTGCGAATGTCCTGCGACCGAAGCCGAGCAGTTCATGTGTTTCGTTGCCTCGGCAAGCAGATCTTGCTTTGCGCCAAAGTCAAATCGTCAAAGTAATGACGGTACAATGATGCAACATGTACCGTTTGAATGAGTGTTTGATGGAGCTATCGCTCATCTCTTTGCACACCAAAAAGGAAGGCAAACCATCAAACTGTCGCGAACACCTTCACTGTCGCAACCTCCGCATCACTCATTTCCACACCTTCACGACGCCAGGAGCCCTGTGGCTGAAGCCTCGCTGTCCAAGTTTCAGAAGCCCGGACGCCCGGACGCGGTGTCCGGGAACGTCGCACCGGCACCGCACATCTCACATCTCACCGCAGCCCAGCCTCTTGTGTTCCTTTTTCTCTTGGCCCAAGGGGCATGAAGAGGACGCCCTGATCCTCTGAGTAACGATTCTCTTGGTTTGGGTTGAGTAAAGCATAAAGACATGAGCAATCATGAGCAATCCAATCTCTTGTGGCAGGATGCAAAGTGTACCAGCTCGATCACCCCCAGACACAGATCCGCTTTGGTTTGTAGATCGAGGGATGTCCACCATCACCTACCTAGTCTTGCAGATGGTTCACCTGATTCTGCCGCAGGCACACACCAGCACTGGACCGAACCAAACAACTGAGTGTGGATTCCAGGCTTTTTTGCAGGCCCACAGTGCATGGACACTCCTGCAAGTTCCGTGTCACGGAACTCGCTCGGTTTTGCTGCCTTCAAGTTCCGAAATCTGACCGCACACCCTTCTTTGTCATGACCCTCACGTTTCGCGTGTTTTGCACGTTCCTCGATGTTGGCCATTCTCCACTTCGATGTTCCGCTGAGGCTTTTCACACCCAAGCAGCAGCGCAAGCACGATGTGGGGGCACCTGTCGAGCCCGCAGCGGCGTCTGGACGAGCCCCGTTGTTGGGAAGTGGGCAAGAGATCACTGAGGCTCCAAAAGCGTACAGCTTCGAAAAGGGTATTTGTGCCAGTTGCAGGTCCCCTGGTGTTTGAGGTCAACAGTCGCAGGATTCACCATCCAAACACACGGATAGGACGTTCAAACGAATGCGTTGCAGAAACAAATTCTTCACCGGGCTTGATATTACAAAGCATTTGTTGTCACCTTTGTTTGTTGTTGTCACCGTTGTTTGGCTTCCACTGTAGAAGGTGTAGGTTGTTCCGAAATTGGTTGCTTCCTTGCATTTGACCTGCCCCTCTCCTGTGTTTAAACCGTCCAAGAGTGGTGAACCTCGCATACATTCAGGAGGTCTTTTCACATCAAGGGCGGCTGTCTCCTTGAAGAGTGGTCACAGTCTACCCACGCCAGCGTCGCTCAGGCGCGAATCGCAGCGCTGAAACTGGCCAGAGAGCAGGAGACAAGAGAGCGACATCGAAAGCAGGGTTGGGACAGTGACATGTGCCGGTTCCTTAATGGCACTGGTGAGATGATTTGACCCAGTATTTGGCTCCAACGATCCACACCGGTTGTCTAAAGCAGCCCCTTGGTGAAGGCCTCTCAAAAACACCAAGCCACCACTTCATGCGAACGCTGGGAACACTGGAGGTCACGGGTGTCCGACCTCGGGAGAGAAGGTCTGCCAGGCGCACGCAGGCAGCTAGAGCGCTGAACTCTGCGTGGGCAGGACTGACCAAAGGTACACCAAAGGTATGATGAAAGCATATCAAAGCCCACTTATGACCTAATGATGACAACCCCAGAAGTGAGTGGAGTTTGAGGCAACATGGCAAGTCTGAAGCATGCTGGGTGGTATGAGTCGATCTAGGCATTCGGCTGTTGCTGATGTTCCTTATTTGTTCATCACACAAAGAAAAGCACCTAGTCTTTGACCCAGCCTGTGGTTTTGGGTGAAGATCCATACCCTGGCGCACAGAACCAGTAAACAAACATGGAAATGCCGTGGCTTGTTTGTAGACTTTGTCCAAACCTCTTCGCAATCATCCCTGCCAGTTTCTGTGCAGAAGAAAAGTACATGAGCCTCACAAAGTTTCGTGGCTTGTGCAGAGAACATTGGCCAGACCCGCCAGCGCTTCTAGTGGCCCTTCATCAAATCACAGGACTTGTGGCGGAACTTGTGGACTCGCAGTTCTTCAATGGACACGATCATCACCTTGTTGAACGAAGCTAAAACCTGCTCCACGCCTTCTTGTGCGGCTTTGGTCATGGACCATGTTTTGTTGTATGAACTCTCTTGGCCATGGAAATGCCCAACGTAACAAACCAAGCAAGCCCGGAGCAACACTCGTGTTGGTGGGGTCGACCACAGGAGAAGGCTCCAATCGAGAAGGCCGGGGCCCCCGATGCGGAGCGACAGACCGGTCAGGTGGGCGCGATCTGACCCATGCGCCTTCGCTGATCTGACCAGTCTCCACAAATTTGGGGGTTTGATCTGGTATGAAGAACAGGTCCGCTCAAAGATACACAACCCTAAGAGCGAAAAATAGTGTATACAAGTGTCCCCTAAGATTTTTCAAAAGCTCCGGAAAATTCTTCCAGATCTTCGCGAAAGCCCGCCATGCCCTAGTTGAACTGAACCAGTGGCACCCGAAAAAGCTATTGCAATACAGGTTCCAGGCACATGCGAGAAAAGCCCGCAAGAAGCTCCAAGTCACCCCACACTGTGCCAAGTGAATTCCCTTCCAGATCATGCTCTCTTCCAACATATGTATCTATAATCTGTCTGAATTGGTGTGATGGACTCCGTTTTGCCAAGCTAAGCCTTAAACCAGTGCTTTATGCCAGCTCCATGGAAGCTTTGGCCGCCCCTTTTCGGCAGTCCAACCACAGTCATCCGCAAGTCATTCTAATGACCAGCGGACTGACGACAAAAACTGGCACGGCCATGTGTTGACACGGACCTCGCTTCTGTGAAATCACCCTCTGGGCACCCATGTGTTCCACGTGGTCCCGTCCGGTGGCCACCGGGCGAAACAACCGGCCAACTTGGTTGGAAGCGTTTTCCCAAGAACACTGGTCGGACAACGCGGGCGGACTGGAATTGCACCTGGGCACCCTCTCGCCACCTGGGCATCGGTGTCGAAAGCGAGTTTTCACTGGGGCCGTGTGGGCGACGTGTGGTGACTGGTGACATGGCGACGAGCGCCAATTCGAACATGACCCAACGGTGGAGCTCCTTTTCCTTTTCCTTGCTTCTAAGACATGAAGGTGAAAGAGACCAAGAGCATGAATCCTAAGAGCTCCTACAAAAGGATTCTGATGGCACCTGCAGCGACACTTGTCAACTGTCTTGTGCAGTTAGGTTACGAAGAAGAGCTTGAATGCAGTTGTTCATTATCACGAGGTCGAGTGGAGACGGACACAAAGCGGTGTTTTTTGTTGATATCGATTTTCCAGACCTGGCCGCTTCACGGTTGTTTTCAGGAGCAGACAGGTGTACGGATCTCAGGTTTGCTCAGCCAAAATGACATGGAGGTTGATTCTACCCTCGTCACCCAGCACGTCTTCGAAACCCTCGGAGATCGACCTGGGTGGATGTCGGAAGATCGACTCCCAAACCATCCCAAGGACCTCAAGAGAGGGTCTCTACTCCCTCTTGGTTTCCCAGCTCTCTCGCACTCTCCCGGACCGGTCTGGCACGGACGCCGGACGCTCCGTGTTGGATCCCACAGGTACCCAGTGCCTCCTTGGAGGAGGGCCGGGCCGGGCCGGGCAGAAGCGACCAGGGCCGTGTTGCAGCCGAAGGGTTGCAGGAGGAAAGGAAGGACAGGAAGAAGGAATGGTCTAGAATGGTCCAAAGAAGAATGAAAAGGTGAAGAAAGAATGGTACATAACCATACATAACCCATCGTGTTCACTCCTTTATTTTCCAAAGAGGCGTCATAAGCATGCGTAATTGCATAATTACATGTGTGGCCCATCCTAAAAAAGGTAAGTGGTTTTCCTGCTTTTTGAGAGGTAGGCCGTGAGACCGGGTACGAAGAAGCTAGCAGCTTCTAGTAGCATCATATAGCTAGTGACTGGTTCTTCACATGATTGATGTGATTCCTAGATTATCAGGGAAACTTGACTTTGAGACCCTTCCTATTTAGACCGGGCAAGTCTCCAAATGCGTGTGGTAAGGGGGTTGTGACGCAGACTCTAGGCAGTAGGTAGGTAGATCGGCAACGACTGGCCAGGTTTGGCGGTTTGGCGTCGCGAACTGGTTGCCGGGTCCCTGAACCTGGAGTTTCAAAGCCGACAACCAAAGCAGAACTTCAAAGCTGAAACCCTCATGAACCACTACTAGTGGTTGATAAGGACTCCTGTTTCTGGCGATTTTTTGCACCGAGGTCCACTCTTGTCAACACTGATTTCTGCCGGTTGAAAAGCAAAAAAACAAAAGATTATCTGTGTGTGTTCTCCGTAGCGTGTCCTTTCCGGATCAGTTGGGCTGTACATGTGTAATGAATCGTCCTTGGGCCTGTCTTGTTTCCACCGGCGGATGGGTCGGATAAAACTGAATCAATAGCCCGTCCAGTCACAAGAAAGGAAGAAAACAATGAAGGAAAAGGAAAGATCTAAAGGTCCTAATAAAGGAAATAACTATTTAAGGGCTGCCGCCCCTGCCGCCGACCCCGGGACTCATCAAGGAGCAGGAGTACTGCAGCTTGCACTCGGCAAAAAGCTATGAAACAAACCGATCAAATTGGACGGGTTGTTCAACAGTTGAAGCAGGTACACTTCAGAATGCAATAAATTACTGTAAAGCTTTCAATATTCTCACGATGGCTGGCGACAAGACCTACGATCAAAATGGAAACTTGACGGCGGCATTCCAGAACCAGGCTGGAAAAACGCCGGTGTGAGATTTGAGGATTGATGCGATTAGTGATGAGTGTTGGAGATGGACATTTGAAGTGAACCTGTTTGTAGACGATGGTCCTCTAAATCCATGCTGGCCATGCCACCCACTTCCAGGATTGTTTCAGGGACAGCAGGAGTGGTTATGGAGCTGTTCTGCAACTTTGGCCCAGACGCTGCGCCAGTCCAAAAAAGGCTGCGACATCTCAAAAAACGCCGCCTGGTTCCACTGGTTCCACTTTGGGTGCCAAACGCCACCTCTGCATCCCTAGAAAAAAAAAGGACGTCTGTTGCCGTTTGTTTCGCTCATCTTGGCCCCGAACACCTGGTCACGCCACGGCTTTTCCCAATCTAATTCTGGTCCAAAACGAGCCTCCCCTGGTTCCACTTTGGGTGCCAAACGCCGCCTCTGAATCCCTAGAAAGAAAAAGGACGTCTGTTGCCATTTGTTTCGCTCATCTTGGCCCCGAACACCTGGTCGCGCCACGGCTTTTCCCAATCTAATTCTAGTCCAAAACGAGCCTCCCCTGGTTGCACTTTCGCTGCCAAACGCCGCCTCAGAATCCCTAGAAAAAAAAGGACGTCTGTTGCCATTGGTTTCGCTCATCTTGGCCCCGAACACCTGGTCACGCCACGGCTTTTCCCAATCTAATTCTAGTCCAAAACGAGCCTCCCCTGGTTCCACTTTGGGTGCCAAACGCCGCCTCTGAATCCCTAGAAAAAAAAAAGGACGTCTGTTGCCATTTGTTTCGCTCATCTTGGCCCCGAACACCTGGTCACGCCACGGCTTTTCCCAATCTAATTCTAGTCCAAAACGAGCCTCCCCTGGTTCCACTTTGGGTGCCAAACGCCGCCTCTGAGTCCCTAGAAAAAAAAAGGACGTCTGTTGCCGTTTGTTTCGCTCATCTTGGCCCCGAACACCTGGTCACGCCACGGCTTTTCCCAATCTAATTCTGGTCCAAAACGAGCCTCCCCTGGTTCCACTTTCGGTGCCAAACGCTGCTTCTGGATCCTTAAATAGAACAAAGATAGTGCTATTTTTCTCGCGCATCTCGGCCCCGAACCCCTGCTCACGCAAACAGCTTTTTCTCATCTTCTAGATCCCCGAACACCTGACCCCGCCACAGCTTTTCCCAATCTAATTCTGGTCCACAACGAGCCTCCCTGGTCGCACTTTCGGTGCCAAATGCTGCTTCTGGATCCTTATATGGAACAAAGATAGTACCTGGCCCTGCCACGAACACCTGGTCACGAGCCTCCCCTGGTCGCACTTTCGGTGCCCAACGCTGCTTCTGGATCCTTATATAGAACAAAGCTAGTACTATTTTTCTCGCGCATCTTGGCCCCGAACCCCTGGTTCGTGCTGAGACGAAGGAGCGCAATAGGTTGCGGTTCCAGTGATGCGTGTGTTCGAGCAGCATGGAGCAGTGGAAGCGTCTGTTGCCTGCAGGTTCGTGCTGAGACGAAGAAGCGCAAGGCTCCCGCACCTGTAATCCCTCGCGCGCTCCCCCTCCTTCAGCCGGGGTCGGCGGATTTCGTAAGATATAAAACAAAAGGTCAATAAAGCTCATCTGTTCTTTGAGGACCAGAAAGAGACATCCTTTCGATCTCCATGTTCCCAGCTGCAGGAGTTGCTTCCCATCAAAGGCCAGCCAGCCGGGACTCTTGGGACAATGAAAAGCCTTCGTCTCGATATCCATGTGCAAGTTTTGACGACCTTCCTCCTTCCTTCTTCCTTCTTCCTTCTTCTTTCTTTTTTAGACCTTTGTCTGCTTCCTTCCTTTTTGTTGTTTTCATCCATCTTTTGCTGCGGCGGCTGGTGGATCTTAGGATCGGAAGATGGGTTGATATTCGGAGATCGGTAGCTCCATGCCTGAACGGGCATGGACGCAAAAAAGAAAAACATGTCAGTGGCTTCCTCATTCACTACAAAGAGCATGAACACGTGTTTTTCTCAGAGAACTACATGGGAGTCATCCTGACAATTCGATTACATATTCTGATCATGGGTCCTAGAGTAGAAACATAGAACATCATAGAACTGGTGAGTCAAACTCTTGGAAAGGCGCGTTTTTCTCGAACCTCTTCACAGGCCAACAACGGTATTACTGGTTGTTTGCAGTGAAAATTGAAAATAGAACTGCGCAGGTCTTGTTCAGGAGTTTTTGAATCGTTGTTCTCTTGGCCGACTCGTGTCCGAATTCCGACCATGAGGTCCAGGGTTTCATGGTCTTCGGACTGGTTGTTTGCGGAAGTGAACCGAGGTCAGCAGCCAAAGTCCGACTCTGCGCCACGGAGAGGGTGTCCTATCCATCCATGTGTTCTCGTTTCCCGTGTTTGGGCGCACCGGTCGAGCAAGCTGGACGCGCCTCCGAGGCGAAGAAGAAGCGGAAGAAGGCGTGGTTCAGAATGAACCGGTCGACCAGCGGAAGTAGCTGGGCCACCAGTGGGGAGAGCTGGGGCGACCGGTCGTGCCGAAAAAAAAGAAGGCACAACGACCGGTCGATGACGAGATGACTCTTGACAAGCAAGATGACAGAAGGATTGAGAGAACAGGGAAAGCCTGGGTAGGGGAGGTTAGAGGTTCTTTCGTGGTGGCATTGCAAGATGAGATATGCCATGAGATGCCCAGATGCGATATGTGGATCGGGGGGGGCTTGCCCGGCCCTTCGATCGAACGGAGAAGCGTCCCGCGTGTGGACGGCTCGGAGCGTGTCGGGCAGGGCGAGTGGTCGGGCATCCGAACAGGGAAGAGTTCATCAAACCACGAGTTAGGCCACGGTGCACCAACGAATGCAACGTTTTTCAGGAACTTTGTGACCACTTTTTTTCTCTGTCTCAGCTTGCGGAACTGGGAAGGACTCCGCACGTCTCCAGCCGTCTCGGGATGGACTCCGCACGTGTTGCAAGAAAAAGAAGTGGCGAATGTGCCGGGTCTTCCACTTGATTGGAAATGGGCCCTTGCAAACGGCAGTGTTCACTTAACCATCTGAACACCCACAAAATGATCAAAAATGCCACCCGCCAAAAGCAAAAAAAACTTCCAAGACGACACACCGGCCGCTGGCCTTTTGAGCTTCCAGTCGATGCTCACTCCTTTTTCTGCTCCAAACCGGGCGTGCCCGGAGGGACTCAGTGCCTCGAAGCGCAAGTTGAAGGCAGCGAAGGCGTGGTGGGACGAGCTGGCGAAGTCGAAAAAGCGAGCTGGGTCTTAAGAAGGTAATGAGTTCGGCATGTCGAAAGATGTACATGTAGACTCTTGATTTTTGTTAAGCCCCCATGTGAAGAGGCGCTTCCATGTGTTTGTCCATTCAAATGGGGGGCTTTGCTATTCAAGAGAGAGAGGGAGAGACAAAGAGTCTACATGTGAAAACCTGTTGGATTTGTTGTTTGGTTCGTCAGAAGCAGGTCGAATGGTCTGTCTTATTCCTAGTATTCCGGGCCATGTGGAACGTTTGCCCACCCAAGAAATTGGAAGAACTTGCTGTCTTGTGGTCCATCCTAGTTCTTGAAGGGGTTTTTACGTTCTTAACGTTCAACTCCACAAAGCCTTCATGCGAATGGATCCAGAAAAATCAACGGCCAGGCCGTTACCTTGTATAGACCGATGCTTCACAGAGTTTATGCCTCAACTGCGGGTTTTTCTGCCAGGAATATCCAACTAAAGCGATATCAGTAGGTCGGCAGAACCAAAACCGGAGGATGCCTCGCTCAGCACGGTTGTTGGATCAGCTTGTTCAATCTCACAATCTTACGGGCACAGCGCACAGCAGCCAGGCCTCACAGGATGAGAAGTTGACCGTGACAATGGAGAAGGAGGAAATCCAAAGCCGTCGATGGAGTTCGACGAAGAAGGGAAGGGACCGACTGAGGACGAACTCCGGTTTCGCCCCCTGATGTCTGGATGTGTTCGCTTGTCAAGAAGTGGGTTTTGGAGAAAACGCTCTTTTTGTACCATATAGTTCTGAGTGTCTCACAAACCGGACAGTCGATTTGTGACCTCGTCGAAATCTGGCTTGCACTGCCCGAATGGGCTGCTATCCTTGGTCCTTGATGTTGCAATGTTGGGTTTTGGATCTTCAGTTCACATCAGCTTTCACAAGAAGAGCTTGGATGACCATCATTCCTTCGAACTCTGAGTGAAATACCAGATTGACGAGTTCAAATGCCGCACGCTTGCGGATTCTTTAGTTGTTGGTGTTTGAAAACTGCAGAACAGGAGAAACTGCTCTTTTTGGTGCAGGGTACAGTACAAACACCAGTACTCTTCAAAAAGAGCAATCTTCTTGGTAGTCTCTTTGGCACTACCATGGAAGGGTGTGTTTCTTCCGTGGTCGTCATCTTGCGGATCAAACAGTTGTTCAAGGCCCCAGACAACCTGTGAGACTGTGGGTACCCAGTCCCCACCAGTCAGACTGGGACCTACCGTACCGGGTGGTCTTCCGGTCTTCTTCCAAAAAATCCTGCGATCTTGCTGAAGAAAGAGAGGAAACCGCCGGAAATGATCGTGTGTTCCGGGTTCCTGTGCTGGATTTCTGACCGGAATGTGCCACGTCGCCAGGACTCGGAGGATGAGGACTTCGCCGTGGAGATCTCGACACTCTGAAGGACTTCGCCGAGGCACCACCGCGGATTTGGACGTGTGGGTCCGGTGGTCCTTTCTTGTAAGGGTTGGCTGACTAAGAGGGTAGGTAGCTGTTTACCTAAGTAAGATGTAGAAGCTTAGCAGTTTTATGGAGTTTTCTCAGTAGGCTGTAGTTCCACAATAGCCTGGCAAGCCACTCCTGGCATCACTCGTGGACGGGAGGACCTGTGACTGACTCCACTGAATCGATGGTTCCTCAAAGCATACACAGGAAATGCGGAATTCGGGGCTTGCAAAGAAAGCAGATGGGCAGAAGAAGAAAGCTTTCTAGATGGTGATGTCAATCCTTCTAGCGCAGAAATGACCGAACTACTGTCCATCCGCTGTCCATCCGAAATCACTGAAAGTAAGTGACAATGAAGTTTAATTCTACACAGACTCAGAGAAGAATGGTTTGTTGATGTTTCTTGGTTTGTTTTGTTGATCTTGCACTCGACAGAACACAACCACCTCCTGCCAGCCATCAGCCAATCTTCCAGGTGATGCCACCCATCTTCCTTACGCCGGGGGGCCAGGCGTGTCCGCAGCGAAGCTGGTCGCTGGTGCCACCGTCCATTTCAGATACTGTACCAGATGTTGGGACCTTAAAGCATTTTAAAGCTGCTTTCTTTGTGCAAAGAGAGTAGCAAGGTGTTGAAAAGGCGACATTCAATACCCAAGACCTTTTCAGTGGCGAATGGATTCTTGGTCACATGAAATACGGTCCAGTCAAAGTCCCAAACATGCCCGGCAAAAGAGCAGCTTGTGCTGTTTGTTCTTTCGTTTTTTCCTCAGATAGCGAGAGCTATTGGGGTTCCTACTTAAAGTGTAGGAGGAGGTGCTGTGTGCGCTTTGGAGCCTGCTGGTGCCACTGGAGGGCACTGCAGAGTGCCTGCATACCCGTGTCGCTATGCCCACAAATGTGTGCTTTCAGACCTTTTGACCTCCCATTCGGACTTTGACTACCGACGGATTTGCCCAAACGGCAAGCGAGACCCCAACCGAACACATAACATGTTTGGAAAGATATGGCTTTGAGTCGGGCACGCCAGCCATAGATACAAGGAGCCAAAATAACTGTTTAAAGCAAAAAACAAAAGGTAAAGCAAACAAGAAAGCAAAAAAATTATCTGTGCGTGTTTATCGTTATTTTTCACGTTGTTCACTTTATTTTCACATTTTTCCACCTTATGTTCGCATTGTTTTCGCTTCTGTTTTGTTTTTTTTCTGGTACCACTTCTGCACTTATGAAAACTTTTACCCGTCAGCAACATTCACTGTACGCTCCTAGGGAAAAAAAGAAACAAAAGCCAAAAAAATAACAATAAAGCAGAAAAAAGAACAAAAAATGCACCCAAAAAAACGACAAACACGCAAGCTCCATGTGTTTGCATGTGTTTTTTTTCACTTTTTGTTCACTGTTGTTTCATTTGTTTGCTGTGCTTTTGATTTTGTGTGGTTGCTTTTGTTTTGCAGGTTCATTTGCTTTTGTTTTGTGTTTTCGTTAAACACAAAAAAATACGTGTTTGATGGTTGGTCATGTATGGCTGCCATTGCTCAACACAAGTATGGCTCATCTGTGGAGTGGATGCCCCTACGTGGACTAACCTTTTACCTGTACATTTTTCGTTCTTTCATTGACTGAAGGCCTGAGTGCAGATTCAGGTTGCCACATTCAATCGCCAGAGAGGACACAGGTGATCCTGTAGATTGAGGGTTGTTAAACCGGAAACAAAATGGACAAGAGGATCAAGAGGAAGAAGGGTTGAAAGGGAGAAAGATAGAGGAGCTAAGATATACTCAGTGGCAGGGTAAGTCCGAGCTGGCTTGAAAGCGGCCCGTTTCCCGCAGGTATCCAACTGTTTGTTCCAGAACAATGTCATGACACATGCGGAATCAATGATGGATTCTCAGAGTTGGTGATACACCAGAGCATCAAAACTATTGGACAATAGTATGGAAACCCTTGTTTTGTGTCCACGATGACCCGTCTCCAGCAGTTAAACAACTGACAAAGTACTTCTGTGCATCGGCACATGGTGTTTTGGTCCTGTATTTGGTCTCTGGTTGACCTGTTGCCTGGCTTTTTCTCGCAGACATCACCAGGTGATCAAGAAGAGATGACGCCGCTGGCAAAGACGCCACAAGATTGCTCATCGACAAGAGTTGAAAGGGATCTGAAGTTGTCCGCATGGCCAGACATGTGAGACGTGGTCGCAGTCCCTTTTTGCACAAACGTTTTCTGGTGGTGTTGTTGCTGTTGTTGTTATTGTTCAGAAGTCTCTGACAATCCTTCATGGAGAGTCTATCAAACTGAGCTTGATCGCCAGCAGCAGCCGTTTTGCCTGTAAACAGCCGTTCTTTGAGAACTTGTTGCCAGTTGTGGAGTTTGTGACTTCGGCAATGGTGTCATTCTTCTCCTTGGGCTTTATGGTTGCTTTGGTGACAGCGGGAGCCACACGTATGGACCGCTCGGAAGAAGTGCAGGTGGGCATGGGAAGGGTCAAGAATGTCATCTAACAGCTGTAGAGTTTGTAGAGCATCTCTCAGCGAAGTAGTCGTGGAATGCCAGGACAAGAGAAAGTATTCCTGTGTGTTTCATCGAAAAGTCACACTCAGGGTCAAGATGAATACGCAGATTTCCAGCATACGCAGACATAGCTGGATGGTATGATATGGTATGGCGCACGGGTCTTTGAGCCAGAGAGATCAAGCAAAAAGATGCACATGTAGAAAGGAAAGCGGACCACGCAAGAAGGCTTTTGAGCAAGCTTTATTCATTGCTAAGGTGGACAACTCATACGAAGCAGTGTGTCCGGGTGGAATGGGGCGCTGCTGCACCAGCAAATGCAGTGGAGCCCTGGAAAAATGCTTGTTGTGAGTTACAATGTTTCTTCCCGATGTTTGCAGATGCAAGCTGTGCATCACACAGACACCGAGGAAGGGAAGACTACAAGACGGGAGGGAAATTGTCAAAGTGCAGAGCCAGAAACTTAGGACTGGTGAGAGTTTTCAGAGTGAGCTTTTCTCAAGTGTGACTGCTAGGTCAAGGCTGGTCAAGTCTTCAGTGACAAGAGTGCCTACAACTACAAATGCAAGGACTCTTGTCTTCTTCCCTCGCTTCTTTGCTGTTTGGTCCTTTCCAAGATTCACTGACTGTGATGCAGGAAAGCTGCGATTTGGAGCGGGAGTACGTGGTGCAGTTTTCTACCAAGGGTTGGTTCGGCAGGAAGAAAGGTAAGAAATCCCAACGAACCAAGACAGAAAGAGTAATTGTCAAAAGAGGTGGTGGATACTTGTCCGGTGGTTCATGTAGCTCGTGAAGCAGCATGAAACTCCGGGGGCAAAGACGCCACAAGTTTGCTGTCACTCCTGACATCGACAAGAGTCGAAAAGGATCCGAAGTTGTCGGCATGGAAACACATGTGAGACAGGATCGTTGCTGTTGTTGCTGGTTCTTGTTGTTCAGAAGTCTCTGACAATCCTTCATGGAGAGTCTAACAAACTCGCCAGCCGCAGCCGTTTCGCCTGTAAACAGCCGTTCTTTGAGAACTTGTTGCCAGTTGTGGAGTTTGTGACAATGGTGTCATTCTTCTCCTTGGGCTTTGTGATTGCTTTGGTGACAGCGGGAGCCACACGCATGGACCGCTCGGAAGAAGTGCAGGTGGGCATGGGAAGGGTCAAGAATGTCATCTAACAGCTGTAGAGTCTATTTTTCTTTGCCTCTATGATCTACAAAGCTGAATGGATGAGGTAGGCCGCTAGTAGGCTTTAGTAAGCCGACAAGCAAGGTGTTACTAAGCTTTTGAAGCTACTAGTAGCTGGGACGCAGTCAAGTTCAGGCTTCTTCAAGGAAGCTCCCCCCACATGAATTCGCGTGGTATTTACCGATCAGTTGACCCCTCATGGCCCACCTCAATTGATCGGTAAATAATGGTAAATATTACATACTTGGAGTGTTTGGGATTTGATCAATTCACCGTCAAGTGTCATTCACCGGTCTATATAGCTGCTCCATGCCTTCCACGCGCGCCTTTTGCCCACGCGCGCCTGCCATGCGCGAGGACGAAAGTACTGGAACGAGTGAGTGTTCCGATTGGGGGCGTCTTGGACATTGGGGCAAGTGCTGTACCAGCAAATGCAATGGCCAAGAGGATCGGATCTTCAAAGGATCCTTGGCCAAGCAAGACATGGGAGACCTCCAGGCCCAATGGCTTGACTGGTCTATATTCTTTCTTCCAAGGGGTCGGAAGGTCGGTCGGAACGTCTCCCTATTCTGCACACCCATGGACATTGGACATTGGTTTCGCTCTCCTTTTTTCAGATGCATGAGAAGCCTTATGGACAGAACCATGAAGCAAACTAATTAGATCACATGACTTAGCCTTCGCAGCAGTGCTCGGCCTGATTTTGCGACCGTGCTGAGGGCACTTCAAAAATTGTGAGGCCCAGGGAAAGCTGGTTGCTAACACACTTGAATCGGATCTTGCTCTACAATTCCAACTCATCAATGTGTTGTGTTTAATTGGAGTAAGGTTCGATTCGCAACTAGGTGGCTTTGATTTCTGCATTGATTTGCCGATTGCCCACTTAATTCTACAATCTTCGCACAACATCCTTTGCACCAACTGGGTGCTATCACAGCTAAGTACTGGTTGAGAGAAGATCTTACAGCCTGTGCTTGTTTCGTCACCCGCAAGGGCGGGCCCCTACATCCCGAACTTGGTTTGGACTCTCTTTCAGTCACCTCGAGCTGCCGTAGCAGGTGAAGATGGGAAAAATGTTCGACGTAACGAAAAGTGGATCATACAAGTGCGAGGACTGCTCACATGGACAAGAGGCAAACCAGGTTGGGAGCTGAGGAAAACCAAAGAGCGTGCCGCAGCGTGACAACGAATGTCCAAGTCATTCGCCCATGGAACCTTTGTTTTGGGAGGGGGTCACGAGGTCACCACAAGAATAACCTCCAAACAGCCAGCATTGGCACAGAAGGTTGTTTCCCTATGATAGTCTTTTGATGTGAGTTGATGTGCATTACTTATTTCTTTGCGGGCGTCAAAGAAAGTTCCAAGCAATCTTCCGTTCTTGAAGCATCAACCCCAAGCCCTGCATCGAATGGAGGAGATCTGCACGATCAGGGCCGAGCGTCAGTTTCTTGGAATGTGCGTTGCTGAGCCATTGTGGGCTCATGGCCATAAATCTCTTTTATCCTAAAAGAGACACTGTCTCGCAGATACAAAGATATATAAAGTATTTGGGATGACTACTGACTCGTACCAGTCCTTTCTCAAAAACTCCTAGAGAACTCGATCTTCTCATCTTCTCATCTTCCGTATCGTGGACTCGCCCCTTCGAGGTTTAAAATGCCCTTCGGCTCCAAGTACCGGGAGTCCAAAGTCACTGTGCGCCGCATTGGTGGCTTCCCAGAGCTCAAGCGTTGCGAAACGAAGAAGCTCCACGGATGGTTCGATTGAGCATGGATGGTCGAGAGGTTCAGAACGGACCGCACCACCACGCGATTGAACTGTTGAAAAAGATCGTGCTGGGCCGCTGGAAGTTTCACCTGCCATGCTCAAGAAAGCAAACTTGATAGGCTTTAGGCTGAAGTTAGTTGCGCGAACGAAGTTCGTTGTTAGGGGGTGTGGGGGGGGGGGAGATGGGGAAAAGTGCATGTAAACCATGTTAGCCTGCTCGTGTTTGTACTTTTTGACGGATATTATTTTGGTTGGTGACTTGGTGATGCAAACGATGCAGATTAGTCTTTTGATATGTGAACATGGCTGAAAGAATTATATGTGTGACTATACATATTATAAGTAATATCTGAACACACCTCGTACCAGTCACTTGTTGAGAGTCCTATTATTCCCCAAGACCACAGCTTTCAGCTTCAATACCTTGTTTTGACATTTCGACATGGAAGATATATATATTGTTTGTATGGATACATATATATATATATATAACATGCCTGGTAGTAGTCTTTTGATCCGACGATCTTTGAGTCGGATCACCTTAGCTAATAGCCACAAACCTACCCGGCCTACCCGGCCCCACCCGGTAATAATACAAAAAGTATAAGTTACCGGGCGGCAGACGGACCACGAAAGTGAACAGCGTTTCTTGCATCATGCTATGTTCCTGCATTCTGGTGTTGTGGCCATTCGGCGGGGCTCGTGGCCGATGGCAAAGGACAGCGGCCCAAATACTAGCGCAGAGAAACCCCCTGGGAGGTCTTGCTCGGGGAGGATGACCTTCCCGCTTTCCGATGGGGATTGACAAGCCTCTGTCGTCGTGGCTTTTGTTGGTTTGCATCTATTGCCGAAGAAAGCCGGTTCCATGTGTATAGCGTGGAGTACCTCCAAGGAAGCTTCCCAACCTTTCCTAACCTTCCGTCGTTGTCATCATCATCATCATCATCATCATCATCATCATTACCACGTCGATCATCGTGACGTGTTCACACCGTGTGGAGGTATATTTGTATGTATAGATATCTGCTTGCGCATGTCTGTGTACACAGATGTAGGTGCACATTATTCGTGTAGATGCACGTGTCAATATTAGTGGGAAAACATCTTCCAAAGGAAAGTATTTCAAGGCGAGGAGCTTGCAAAGGCCGCCGTGTCCGTCGAGATGCAACTGCGCGCCGCTACAGTCCAACGCTGCAGTAACATGAGAACACGTTTTGCCTGCGCATGTCGGAAACTGCGTGCATGTGGTGTGTCCTGGCGCAACCCTCTTCTGGAACTGCGTGCGCCGAGTGCCTGAAACTGCAATAGAGAATGCAACTTTCGCAATCAAAGTGAAACCCTCGTCGATTTCAACCTTCACATGGAGGTTCAGGCTCGGAACTGGCAACTTTGTAGTACAAATGTAGTTCGGGAGTGAGTTTGTGGGAGCTTTGGGCTCCGTTGTGGGCACCTGCTTCATGGCTAGCGATATTGCGATACAAACGTTATATCGCGAGTGGCTGCAGCTTCGGCTTACAATTCGCAACTTTGTTCTGTCGGGCAGAACTGACAACTTTGGGCACAAACGCAGCCTGGAGAATAACTTGTGGCAGCTCTCGGTGCGGCGACTGGCTTCTGCAAAGGAATCATTCTATGTTGCAAATGCAGTGTGGCAAGTGCTTGCTTGAGACTCCAGGCTTCAAATTGGCCTAGGCGCTGGGTTTATTGGCGCAATTAAGTTTGTGATGCTGCTCTGTTGTCCGATTTTACACAACCTTATTCTAAGATGCGTTTGCGTGGCTTCGTGCTGTTCAGGAAGAGAAGTACGTGCGAAAGCACGACGTGTTTAATGAATGCGGTGATAGGATTAGATTCCCTATGGTATGGTTGTGTCGATTTTAATCTAGACAATTGCTGTTTTTGAATTTTAGTATTATGAAGAAATTATTGGTAATAGAATGTACTAGAGAGAGAGAGGGAATTATTAGTAATATAGTTTCCATTGATTATTAAAGTCCAAAGAGGTATCGCCATATTGATATTGATGTCAAGCACGATAGCCGGATAAGGAATGAAATATCGCCGTTTCCCAAGGGATACCTAAGTTGGTAGCTTAAGGTGCCCACGTCGTCCGGAATTCCCCTGTTTAAGGTATATGTGCTTGTTGAATTGGAGGTATGAGCGATGATGCCATTCTCGAAGGTTACGGAGGATTTGCTTTTTTTGCTCTGAGATCGTAGAGATGTTTTGCGTGCGAGAGCACGGACGACAATTGCAAATGTGTAAATTTCGTCCGGCATCTCCTGATTTTGCATTTTTAGGAAGGTACGCTAATTTAAAAAAAACGAAATTCTATCTTGTCTTAAAGTCGAACGTTTTGATCGTTATGCCAATCGCTTCTGCTACTTGCGAGAGTCGAGCCCGCCTAACGTAGATTTCTTATAGGATACGAGGTGGAGCCTAATGCTCCGTTAACCGGTATTGTCTATTAGGATTTATGGAGTTTAGTTAAAAATAAAAATATATGATTAGAGTCTTCTAATGTTTTGTAACTAGAATAAAAAATATCTTTAGGTGTTAAAATAAAAATAGCTTTAGGTGTTAATTAATCTTTAGCTTAGTATATTGGATAAGTCGTCTTGGTTATAGAAAATATAAGTTTAGTTGCTGGAGTATAAGTTTATTTATATTTTAGTATATTGATTTGTATTTTAATAAATAGTAATAATTATAATTATATTTATTATATTTATATATTTTTTATATTTAAGTTATTCTAGAAAAAATATATTTTAAATAATTTATAAATAAATTGAATTTATTTAAAGGGAAGATATAAGTTATTTATAATTTAGTTATATAAAGTTATTTTTAATTATTTATAGTTACAAAACTTATTTTTAAGCAAAAACCCTGTAGATTTTGGCAGAAAGCGCGGAATTGCTTCTATTGGGTTTTTCGCGAGAGCGATGGTAGCCCTGGATGCTTCGTTACGGAATTGATGAAGATACGGAGGAATTAATAGGAATACACCCGGATTGATTCCTTTTTGATCGTTGGAAGCACCGAGGTGGCCGCGCAATTTACGTCTAGGTGGGATGAATAGCGACGGAAAGTCTGAGTGACTTCTACATACGGTGGCATTTATGGAGGACGCGTATATAGATTATAGGAGTTGCGTTTGCGTGCTAGAGAAAAATGAGCGCGGGAAGGCGTTGGGTTTTCCGAACCGTGGCCTTATATATAGATATATAGTTTTTATCTTTAGTTTAAAGGCTATAACATTACATATAAATTTATGTTTTTACTAACGGTTCTAAAACCATACGTGCGTTTTTACGTTTTTTGCTTCTTGGATGTTTTATGCACTTTCTTATATATATATATGCGGCTATGTTTTATCTTGACGTTGCATTTCATACATATAGGCGGTTAACGTTGTGTATTGGGTTGGATGCTACGTTGTGCTATGTTGGTGACGTAGCACGGGGTGGGGGGTATGTTGACGTTCTTGTGACGTTACACATTGGGTTGGATGCTACAATGTGCTATGCTGGTGACGTTGCACGGGATGGGGGGGTTGCGGTGGGGGGATATGTTGACGTTCTTGTGACGTTGTATATATATGTATAATTCTGTGCATGTAAGAACAAGGATGTGATGTTGTGGTTGCGTTGCTGGCAATGGCGCTATGAAAACAAAACCGCTAGGTTGTTTATAGTGATAGCCTCCACGTTGCGTGCACACTGAGTTGGACCGATCGATTTTGTGAAAAGGTTCCGATCGAATCGGTGAACATGTGTGTTTTCTTAGATTTTTTCGTGTTTCAAGCGAATTTTGGTCCAAATTTTGGACCCAGAATTTCCGATTTATAAGAGGTTCCAAACCCTTTTTTCCATTGTTTTTTGCAGTGGATT